ACCCTCTGCCGGCCGGTCCCGCCCCGACCTTTCCCCTGGGGATCTGCGCGGGGCTGCTGCTGCTGCCTCCCTTCCCTGCAAGAGTCCCTGCCGGCCGGGCGGAGCCTGGCGAGGGCCCGCTTCCTGCTACTCTCCACCTTCCACTGGGTCAGAGCCTCGGCTGTGCCCACGCCGCTTGTCCCGTGTTCCTGCCCGGCCTGCAGTGTTGAGAGCTGCCCGCGAGGCGCCTCCGCGGACACACCAGAGCTTCGGCGCCGGGTTCAAGGAGAGCGAGCCTCTTCCTGAGTCTTGTTCCATTTTTAATCTCGTCCAACCAGTATTTTACACATGGAAGGGGACACGACCTTCTATTCCCAGCTGGAACTGAGGAACTGTAGCTCCCACCTGGGCCACCCCTGTCATCCTTGGCCCAGATAAGTCAGAATATGTCTGTCTTTCCAATAAAGTGTCACACAGACGTGTGTGTGTCTGTGTGAACATCTGTGGACAATAAACCCCGGTACACGGTGCCTGGGGGCAGTGCTGCACTGCTGCCTCCACTTCTGCTCCTCCCTGAGGTTGGCAGGTGACCAGGACTTCAGTACCCAGGAGACTTCAGGTGGCAGTGACCCTGAAGATTTGCAGGATGCGTCTCCCTGGGCCACCTGGTGGCCAGGTATTGCCCTGCCTCTGCGCCCTCCCTGCCCTGGGCTGTCCCCGCCCAGGGGACCAGGGAGACGGAAACACTGCTGTCGCCCATGGCCACGGAAGGAGACTTTGGCTGGGAACCGGAAGCCTGGGGGCTCCCGGGCAGGGGACTGGCCCCCCGGGAGGCCAGAGCAGGTGAGAGAGCTGGAGGTTTGGATCTGTCCAGCCTTCCACCCAGGGAGGCTTAGGTTCCTGGGTCCAGGAGCAGAAGAGGGAAGGGTTTCAGTTACTGAGGAAAAGAATTGGCACCTCGGACCCAGACATGATTGGTGAAGAGGTTCTCAAGTAGGGACTCGGCTGTCTCACTTATGGGAGCCCTCGAATAAGGGAAGAGGAAGTTGGGGCCTGGACTCCTCAGCCTTAGAATACAAGGTGGGGGCACTTGGTTCTTTAGAAAGGGGAGTCTAGGAGTCTGGATTCCTGGACCTGTGGAAAGTGGAGGGTGGAAATTCTAGACGAGATATGAGAGGGAAGTGGCAAGGAACTCTCGTGTCTGAGGGAGGAGGCGGAGCCTGGACCTGTGGTCTTTACACCGCACCTCTGCTCTCCCCCAGGCCAGTCGCTGGCCTCTGTGCTGAATGAGCTCCCCAGTGCTGCTACCCTTCGGTACCGTGGCCCTGGGGTGCTGCCCTGGGGGTCACCGGAGGAGGAGGAGGAAGGAGGAGGAAGGAGCAGCCAGGCCCTCCCAGGTGCCGCCCAAATGGAGACGCAGGACCCTCGCCCTTCCCGGGAACTGCCCTGGCCCATGCAGGCGAGGCGGGTGCACAGGTGAGAGCCCACCCTTCCCTGAAGAAGCCCCTTCTCTGACGTTTCCCAAGGGCTTCCCGCCCGAGAGCAGGTTCCCTGTGCTTGCTCCAAGCTCTGGGTGGATACGGTCATGCAGACTGCGTCCTTTAGCGCCTGGCTTCTTTCGAATAGATCGGGTATTTTTTTTTCCTTTTTTTTTTTTTTTTTTTTTTTTTTTTTTTATATGTCACTATGTAGTTGAGACTGACCTGGAACTCACTATGTATTTTCTTTTATTGCGACAGAGTATTCCATATTGTGAATATAGTATACCAGGGCGGCCAGCCCTCCTTTTCTCTCTGACTCTGCCCCTTCCAGGAATAACCAGGCCAGGGCGCAAGGGGCCTACAGCTCCGGATCCAGGGTTGGCCACTGGGCCCGGCTGCTTGCCAGGGGCAAGGACAAGACGAAGGAAGGCCTCCGCAGCCTGCAGCCCTGGGCGTGGACTGTGAAGAGGATAGGGGGTGTGCGGGGGGGAGGGGGGAGGCGGAGGAGAGGGAGAGGCGGAGGCGGGGCCTGGCCTTCTGGGCGGGGAGGAGGCACCCGAGCGCCTCTCTGCTGCCCTCTGCAGGCCAGTTTGGCGCCGGCACTGAGTCCTACTTTTCCCTGCTGCGCTTCCTGCTGCTTCTGAATGTGCTGGCATCGGTGCTGGCTGCCTGCATGGTGCTGCTGCCCACCTGGCTGGAAGGGGCTCCCCCGGGCCCCCCGGGCCCCAGTGCCTCTTCACCCTGCGGCTCCTACAGCCCCCACAGCCCGGGCCTGGCTACCTTCCCCTCCCAGCTCTTCAACTTGCTCTCGGGACAGGTGGGTGCCTGTCCCCGACCTCTCAGACCTGAGCCCTGCGCACCCAGCCCCACAGTGACCGACCCCCTTTGCTCCCTCCCCAGGGCTACCTGGAGTGGTCTCCTCTCTTCTATGGATTCTACCCAGCCCGCAGGCACCTGGCAGTCACCTACCTGTGCTCAGTCTTTGCCAGTGGCCTCATCTGCCTCCTGCTCATCCTGCAGCGGTCAGTGACACCCACACCCTGACCCCCTGCAGGCTAGGGAGAGTGGGTACGGGTGGGGGCTCCCCAAGGGTGCGCGCTCTGTGCTCGGTCGTCTGGGCTGCCGCCAGTGTTTGTAAGATGCCCCTCATGTGTAGAATAAGGACACAAGGTGACTAGTTTTTCTCCCTCCTGAAGCTGGTGGAGAAAGAGAGATGTTAAACAAGCGGGAGAATCACCTGCCTCCTGAGCGGAGGCAGTGCTACATGGAACACTTTCATGCTGCAAAGTGTATCAAACACCCACCCCACACCAGGCCCGTCCCATGTAGTGGGTGTGGGACTCAGCAGACAGACAGGAGAGCCGACAAACTGCCCAAACTGTCCTGTCCCATGCTTCGAAGCTTGTTCCACTGGGAGCTGACCAGGCTCTGGGTGAGGGAGACCCACAGTGGCCCAGCTGCTGTGTCAGTAGGTGGCTCGGGGAAGCTTCATAAGGAACACAACATTTAAGCAAACGATTGCGAAGGTGAGTGTTTGGGCACGCAGATTCCTGGAGGAAGAGCGTCCAAGGCAGAGGGTACGGCTATGGCCATTCAGGAGCTGGCCCGGAGTGTGTGGGTGGGAAGTGTTGAGGAGTCTGTAGTAAAAATCCATCCTGGGGCCAGGATTTAGCTCAGTGGTGCTGCCACCTGCCTCACAAGCACGAGGACTGAGTAAAAAAAAAAAAGCCTGATCTGATGCAGGCTTTGAAAGGATCCCTCTTTTAAAATTTTTTTATTAGTCCATTTTGCAGTGCATAATGATTACAGTTCAGCCAGGCATGGTGGCACATTCCTGTAATCCCAGCACTGTGGAGGCTGAGGCAGGAAGGTCACCACGAGTTCAAGGCCAGCCTGTACTGCATAGAGAGAGACTCTGTCTAAAAAAAGTGCCCCCCCCAAAAAAGAGAAAAACCCCAAACCAAGCTGGGTGTGGTGGCACATGCCTGTAATCCCAGCACTCAGGAGGCTGAGGGAGGAGGATCGCTGTGATCCAGGTGGTGAAGACGGACATGGTCTCGGTTTTTGTTCTGTTTTGTTTGAGACAGGGTCTCCCTATTTAGTTCACGATGTAGCCAGAGCTGGCGACATTTAGTTCACAGTGTAGTCCAGGTGCGGTCCTCCTGCCTCAGCCTTCTGAGTGCCTGGCTTTGGACATGAAGTCCTTGTTCAATTCTGTTTCTGGGCCAGCCTCTGGTTCCCAGTCCCTACTCTGGCTGCCTGGCCACCCCGCTGAGCATCTCCCAGCCCTGCCTCCTAGGTCCCCTCTCCTCCCAGGTGCCTTTCTCCTAGGTGTCTGTCGCTCCTTAACCGCTCTGTCTCTGAATCTTTCTTGGCCTTTGCTTCCAGTAACTCAGTCTCTGCCTGTGCCTCTATCACGTGACAGCGCGCCGCATGCCAAAGGTCTTAGGGTTCCTGTTTTGCAAGACAGGGGCGCTCCATCACTCGCGGCTGTTCTCACATCTGTCTCCCCGCTCAGCTCCGTGTCAGGACTGAAGCAGACGCTGCTGGCCGAGGTGGGGGCTCTGACCAGCTACAGCCACAGGGTATTCTCCGCCTGGACCTTTGGCCTCTGCGGGGCCTTGCACGTGCAGCTGCGCCAGCGCAGGATCCTGTACGAGCTGCAGGTGCGCCCCGGGGAGGAGGGCTCAGACCAGATAGGGAACCTGGCGGGACCCCTGAGACACGGTCGGGCGGAGCTTTCCCTTAAGAAGGCCAGGCATGGGGTGCCAGAGGGCAAAGGTGAGCTGGGCGTGGCCACGTGGGCGGAGCTCATAAAGGGGCGGGGCGAGTTCTGGGCGGACGAGGGTGGCGGAGCTTGGGTGCAGGGCGGGTGTGCACCCTGCAGGACCGAGAGTACTGCGTTGACCCCATGGACGGCCCGGAGGGGTGTGGAGAGGCTCCGGCCTCTCGGGTCTGGGGAGTGAGCCCCTGTGACGACTCTGCGGCCTCAGGTGGAACTGGAGGAAGCCGGGGTCCGGCACAGGGCCGCGGTGCGGACGCTGGGCCAGCAGGCCAGGGTGTGGCTGGTGCGGGCGCTGCTCAACCTGCTGGTGCTGGCACTGCTGTGCGCGGCCTTCTACGGCGTCTACTGGGCCACGGGGGAAGCCGGGCAGCTGCAGGTGGGTCCCGGGGCCCGGCACCTGCATCCCCAAGGTTGGGGGGCCGTGTGCAGGAACGGAGGCCCAGCGCGGCTGGGGCCTCAGGCAGGAGGCCGGAGTGGGGGTGGAGCCCGCATTTCAGGGTCCGCAGGGAACCGGAGGCCGGGCGGACCTTACAGAGCTGTTCCTCGGCCACCTGTCTCCGCAGGAGGAGGCCCTCGTCCAGCAGAAGCCGCTGCTGCAGCTAGTGGTGAGCTACCTCCCGTCCATCTTCATCTCCGCGGTCAACGCCGTGCTGCCGCCGCTGTTCAAGCTAATAGGCTCGCTGGAGGGCTACACTCGGAGCCACCAGATCGTCCTTATCTTATTCAGGTTCCAGCCCTGGGGTGGGAGTGGCGTGGGCGTGGCAGTTAGGTCTCCTGAGGACAGGGACCTCCAGCGGACGGGGTCCGGGGAGCCCCGGGGCCTCTGAGCCCCGGTCTCTCCACCTGTGAAACGCGAGGCCGTGAGTGTGTCCCACGCAGAAGGACGGACCCGCGCGGGCGCCGGGCCCGCGTGATGCCTCCCCGCTCCCTCCAGGACCGTGTTTCTGCGCCTCGCCTCCCTGCTCGTCCTGCTCTTCTCTCTCTGGTCTCAGATCACCTGCAGGGGCGACGCCCAGGCCGAGGCGTGCCAAGGCTGTGGCTACAACTACAGAGAGCTGCCGGTGGGTCCGCAGTCCGGCGGTGCTGGGCCGGAGAGCGTGGCGTGCTGGAAACAGCACCCTCGGGTGCGTGGTTCTGAGGTCTTACCGACCCACCCTCTGATTCCTCAGTGCTGGGAGACTCGGGTGGGCCAGGAGATGTACAAACTCCTGCTCTTCGATCTGCTGACCAGCCTGGCCATTGCGCTCCTGGTCCAGTTTCCCCGCAAGTGAGAACCCGGCTCCTCGCGAGTAGTCCCCGCCCCTGCAGCGCAGATCTCTGCTTTTACCACAGCCCTCATCCTACGCCCTCTCTGTCCACCAATCATCGCCCTAGGCTGGCAGGTCACGCCCCCACGACTTCTGACCCCTCTGTCCTCCTGGGCCCTCAGACCCGGCTGGTCCAGAGGCTCCACCCCCGAACACACCTCCTCTGTGCACGTGACCACAGACGCCCCGCCCTCTCGATGCTCCTTCCCGATTGGTGGGCGGGACGGTGGGGGCGGACACGCTTCTGACTCCTTCCCTCCCCAGGATACTCTGTGGCCTCTGTCCCGGGGCGCTGGGGCGCTGGGCCGGGGCGCTGGAGTTCGAGGTCGCCGACGAGGTGCTGGGGCTCATCTACGCGCAGACGGTGGTGTGGGTGGGAAGCTTTTTCTGCCCTTTACTGCCCCTGCTCAACACGGCCAAGTTCCTGCTGCTTTTCTATCTGAAGAAGGTGAGGGGTGAGGAGGGGCCCGGACTCCTGGGCCAGGGGAGAACGATCCTGGGGGACCCGGGAGGACGGCACTGGGGCCAGACTCCGGGGTCCTGCCGGAAAGAGGCCTGGGACTCCTGGAGGGGGAAAGGAGACGCAGGAGACCTGGGTCTCAGGCGCGCTCTTCCTACTCTCCGCCAGCTCACTCTGTTTTCCACCTGCTCCCCGGCTGCCCGCACCTTCCGGGCCTCCATGGCGAGCTTCTTCTTCCCCCTGGTCCTTCTTCTTGGGCTGGTCCTCTCTGCCGTCCCCGTGCTCTACAGCATCTTCCTGTAAGTGCGACCCCCCCACCTTGCCCTCAGCCGGATTAAAACGCCTGCCTGCCGGAGCCCAGCCTGCCTCTGCCTACAGAATCCAGCCTTCTAAGCTGTGTGGCCCATTCCGGGGGCAGGAGTCCATCTGGGCCCAGATCCCTGAGTCCATCGAGACACTGCCTCAGACCGCCCAGAACTTCCTCTTCTTCCTGGGCACCCAGGCTTTTGCAGTGCCGCTGCTGTTGATCTCCAGGTGAGGGGCCCAGTCTTCGGGATTGGGTTTGCATGTGTGAGTTTACATGTCTGTCCGAGAGGAGGGGCCTAGCCTTGGACCCCGGCCTGAGGGAGGAGGGGTTCCTAGGCTGCAGACAGCGTCTCGGGGTCGGGTTCTGATTTCTAAGGAGCCGTGGATGAAATAATCGAGACCCTTTCTGGAGTGGCTTCCATTCCTGTCCCGCAGCATCCTGATGGCGTACACTGTGGCTCTGGCCAATTCCCACGGACGCCTCATCTCCGAGCTCAAACGCCAGATAGAGACGGTGAACCAGGCTGGCCCCGCCGCAGGGCTTCCCGGGGCCGGGAAGGGACCGGTGGGGGAGGACGCGCCTCACCTCCACCTCCTCCGCAGGAGGCGCGGAACAAAGTCTTCCTGGCGCGCGCCGTGGCGCTGGGCTCGGAGAGCGGGGTTCGGTGAGCAGCCCGGCTCGGGGTGACGCCCCGCCCTCGGCCTCACATCTGCACCCGGACCCTGGCAACCTTCGGCTACGTCTCCGAGAAAATGACGACGCCCTTCCAGCCTGGGATCCAGAGACTTGCAGGACCTCCGCCCCCAAGTCCCTGTGTGCTGATACTCATATCAATAAACACAGCCAAAACTGCAGAGCCCCTTTTGGAACTTGCGCTTTTGAGCTTCTGTTGAAGATCCGCCAGATTGACCCAGTGGCTTCTGAGCGGGCGGAAGGGGTCATCCGCCAGAGGGCGTGACCTGCAAGTCAGCCAATCGGGGGCCGTATCCGGGGCGTCCGGGCGGAGCCTCTTGTGATTGACTCAGGGAGAGCGGTTGCTAAGTGACAAAACGCGCGCTCGGAATGGCTATGATGAAGGGAACCTCAGCCAATCATCTCTCCCTGGAAACCTGGAGGGGGCGTGCTTATTAGCTTGGAACCAATCCGTAGACGAGACAAGGACAACAGGGAGGGGATAGCTTTTCGCCATTCGGAAGGGCTGGAAGGCGGGCCTGACAGTTTGTGGACGGTTACTGCGCCATGAACATCTTGCCCAAGAAAAGCTGGCATGTCCGGAACAAGGACAATGTCGCTCGCGTGCGCCGCGACGAGGCGCAGGCCCGGGAGGAGGAGAAGGAGCGCGAACGGAGGGCGCTGCTCGCTGAGCAAGAGGTAGGCTGCTTTTCCTGAGAGTGTAGCACCTGGCCCGTCACACCCGCGCCGGAAGCGGGTCGGAAGCGGGCGCTGCGCAGGCGCAATGTGGCCGCGTTTGGAGGTCGCTGGCCGGCGATCCCGACCCCAGCTCCGCGAGTCCTCCGCGGGCCTCGTCCAGGTCTAGGTTCCCCGTGGATGTATTTCAGAAGTCTGGAGCTTAGCGCAGGGGAACTTAAGAAATATTCGTTTAGTTAATAAATGAGTGTATGCATGGTCCAGGCAATTTCTGATAGTTTGCCTGCCTGGGTGTAAGAAATCCCTCCTGAGCTCTGAGCGCTCCTGCAGGGCGCTATCACCTCAAACAGACGTGAGCCGGCTTCGGAGAGGAGGCCCGGGGAGGAGGAGAGGCACAGCCGGACTCGCCGCTGGGCGCCCCACGCATCCCCGGGGCTTGCTTTTTTTTGGAGACAAGGCCTTGTTATGGGGGATAGATGCAACTTCCAAGCCTGCTAGATATCTGAAACGCCAGTTCGTGTTCTCTAAAATCGAAGGATAATCTCTAGGAACGACGGAGGTTAAGAGTAGGAAAAATTTATTGAAAGAAAACTTCTGAGAGGGCCGGGGATTTAGCTCAGCGCAAGGACCCGAGTTCAATCCCCGGTACCAAAAAAACAAAACAAAACAAAACAAAACTTCTAAGAGAGACAGAAGGGGGCCGCACAGTGGGATCCCCGCGCACCCCGCTTCTCCAAGGTGTGTTATGGGACAAAGCCACGAGGTGAGGCGGGTTCGAGGTTGTCAAAACTGATCGATCAGTAAGATTCTGACAAGCGCAGTCGCCTAGGTCATGCTGATGAATGGGGATCCAGTGGGGAAGCAAGTCACGCAGGGAGCGTACAAGGAGTGAGCTCAGGATTCTTCCTTGGAAGACCTTGGCCCCCCAGCAGGGCACTGATACCTATGTAGGATAGTGGTCACTGCTCTGCATGTTGTGCGGGCATGGTGGTTTGACAACGCTGGCCTTCAGTGAACGTCTCGATTGTCCACTAGGTTGGCCCCTTGTGGGCTGGCCCTGTCTCACTACTTACAAGGTAACTAACCTGTATAAGTCTCACTGGCCCTGAATCCGTGGCAGATGCTCCTGCCTCAGCCTCAGGAGTGCTGGGATTACAGGCCTGGGCACCACGCCCGGCTCCCTGGGGCTTTATTTACAGCTCCTTCTTTGGTTTGTTTTGCACCTGACTTCCAGTCCCTCAGTTAATCTGGTCCTCATATGGGGCTGGGAAGTAGCCTGGGGTTTTTAAGTCCCTTTCATCAACCCATCATTGTGTATAATGAAAATGAGCTTTAAAAAAAAGAATTCATGCTGGTCAGAAGAAACTGCTTGGACTCACACCTGGAGTTCCAATCCTCTGCTTGAAACTTGGTTCAGCAGCCTGTACGCGCTGCTTTTTTGTTTTGATGCAGGTTGGACCCAGGCGCCTAGCAGCTCTGCCACTGAGCTGCACTCCAGGCCTGGTTATTGACCCACCCAGATGGGGAAGCCCCCCTCCTGTTCAAGCCCCGGATTTCCTCCCAGCCAGCCTTGTTCTGAGGCTTGCTCAGACTGGCCTCAAACTCAAGGCCTTCCTGCCTGCCGACACAGGCCAGCACCAGGGCTTGCAGCGTATCCTTGACAACCCCGCTTTACCACTTGGAGATGCCCCTTCTCTCCCGGCGGGGACAGGTGTCCCTCCCAGGTCTGGTACCCCGCAGCCCCCTGCAGGTGGCCCCAGCTCGGTGGGCTGCTGCACCGCCTACAGCGGGCGCCAGACTCTGACTCCTTTTCCCACAGGCCCGCACAGAACTCCTGCGGAAGAAAGCCAGGCAGCAGAACTGTCCGCCTGTGCTCGGAGCAGCAGAGGCAGGAGCTCCGGCTTCTCATCCTGTGGACCTGTTTCGGGAGCTGCTGGAGGAAGGAAAAGGGGTGACCAGAGGCAACAAAGAGCACGAGGAAGAGAAGCGGCAGGAGAAGGTAAGCTGGCCTCACCCTCCACGACAGAATGAGGGGCCGAGTCGAGGTGGGTTGTGGCTGCCCACACTCCAGGCCTTGAATGCGAATCAGTGCCCTTCACCCCCTGCTCTGGCATTTCCCATCAGACTCTGAACGACCACTGTGCCTCACCGAGTCTGCCTGTCTCTCTCCTTCAGGGTCTCCCAAGTCCTGTTTCCTTCCTGTGCCCACCCTGGGGAGCTGGCACCTGGCTTCCAGTCCTCCCAAGGGACTGAAGGCTCCACCCCTTCCTGTGTCTGCACCCACAGGAGAGGCAAGAGAAAGCCCTGGGCATCCTCACCTACCTGGGCCAGAGTGCAGCAGAGGCCCAGACGCAGCCCCCCTGGTACCAGCTGCCCCCAAAGCGAGGGGCCCCTGAGCCCGGCCCAGAAGAGAAGATTAAGAGTCGTCTGGACCCACTGTGTGAGATGCAGAAGCATCTGGGGAGGAAGAGGAAGCATAGCAGCGAAGGAAGCAGGCTGGCCCAGAAGGAGACGAAGGCTGGGTGTGAGAAACAGCGGCCCAAGGGGTAAGAGCCAATGCCCAGCCCACAGCAGACCAGGCTCGGCCACAGCAGGCCTGGGCCCTGCACAGGCTCTCAGGGCAGGCAGTGTAGACAAGTGGTTCTCAGCATGGCCACTACTGCCGGCTAATGGCACTAATCCACTTAAATGGCTTTGAAGTCCTTGGTTTTAAGAGTGCTGCTGGGCGGTGGTGCACACCTGTAATTCCTGCGCTCAGGAGGCTGAGGCAGGAGGAATGCTGTGAATTCTAGTGAGTTCAAGCCCAGCCTGAACTATATCATCAGACCCCAGAGAGAGCGAGAGAAAGGAGTCCTGAGACTAGAGTTTGAGAACTACTAGGTTAAGAGAGCAAAAGCAGGTTGTTTTTGTTTTTTGGTAGCAGAAATGGCTTGGGTCTTCGAGCTTAGGAGGCAGGCAGTGGAACCACTGAGCTAAATCCCGGCTGGCTGTTAGAACCCTAGGTCAGAGGGGGATTCACCGACAAGTCTTTACCGTAGAAGGGGAGCAGCCAGGTATGGCACTGCATACCTGTGATCCCAGTTCTTGGGGAGGCTGATGCAGAAGACTGTAAGTTTAAGCCCAGCTTCTGCAGTTTTGTGACTGTCTCAAAAATTAGTATTTTTTTGGACGGGCATGGTAGTGCATGCCTGTAATCCCAGCACTTGGGAGGCCAAGGCAGGAGGATGGCTGTGAGTTCGAGACCAGCCTGAGCTACATAGTGAGTTCCAGATCAGTCTCAACTAGTGCTGGGATTACAGGTGTGCGCCACCACGCCCGGCCAAAATTACATTTTTAAGAAGAGCCAGGATGTAAGCTAGTACAAGGGCCCTGGGTTCAATGCCGAGTACCACAGGAAAAGGATGGGGAAGCGGCAGACAGGTGGCTGGGAGCCCTGCTCAGCAGCAGCTCCCTCAGCCCCTACCCACCCCGCAGGCCTCCATCGCTGGACCAGCTCCGCGCTGAGCGTCTCCGGCGGGAAGCAGCAGAGCAGGCTCGGGCAGAGGCCTTGCTGGCCCGGGTCCAAGGCCGGGCACCCCAGGAGGGTGAAGAGGAAGAGACAGATGACCGGCGCCGGCGGTACAACTCCCAGTTCAACCCCCAGCTGGCCCGGCGCCCCCGCCGCCAGAACGCCCCTCTTGCGCATTGATTCCTGAGGGGGTACAGGAGCGGCTGCTGCTGCCAGCCATCATATAAAACTATTTATTCATAAATATTTTCCAAAATGAAAATAGGTTTACCAAAAAATGTCCCTCGCTGGGGAGGGGAGGAGGGGCAGCCCTGACCCCAGGCCCCCAGGGTGGGCTGAGGAAGAGGACCTTCCGGCCCGCCCTGCTTCCTGGGGAGGGGGTGCCATGGCCAGGGCCGCCCCGACTTCCGGGATGAGGCCCTCGCCTGGGCAGGGGTGTCAGCATGCGGGGAGGGTGGGTGAGGGCCGCTGTCACTGGAGGTCCCGGTCCTCCAGGTAGCGGTACTCGAAGGTGAAGCCTTCCTTCTTCCGCTGGCCCCACTTCTCGTAGTCAAAGTAGATGTAGGTGCCCTGGCCAGGGAGAGAAGGCGGTCAGCGGGCCGTGGAGGGCAGCCTGTGGCGTGTGCCACGTTGGAGGACCACACCGGCACGGGGCAGGAAGCCTGTGGTGCAGGCCAGAGGACCTGGGGAGGGACCTGGGCCCAGAGGGCGAGGAGTGGGCAGGACAGAGGACTGGTCTGACGCGCACCGCGGAGCAGGCCCCACTGGCACTGACGTGGCAAACTCACTGACTCCCTCAACTGCCGCACGGGGGGGTCACCCTGTACGCGCAGGGCCCACCGGCCAGGCGGGGCCGGACCACAGCGCTGAGGCAGGTGGCACCCGGAGGCTCAGGCGGAGGGAGGGAAAGGCGGGGAGCCCACGGGCTGGGTGCCGAGCTGGCTGAAGGGCCGCACCTGCTCGAACTCATCGGTGATGGTCTTGGGCTCCTCGTGCCTCTGGAACCACATCATGTACTTGGTGTGGAACCGCCACGACTGCTTCTTCAGGGCCTTGGCTGCCAAGTACTGCGCCTTGGTGCCCTGCGGACCGAGAGGAGAGTCAGGGGGCCCCAAGCTGGAGGGGCCGGGGGGGGGGCACGGGGCGGGGCTGCTGGACGACCCTGGGGGTACCTGGGGCACGGAACGTACCCGTGTTGGTCAGAAGGAAAAGGAGACAGGAGTGGAAATTGCTTTCAGAGAAGCTTTGCAAAGGAAGAGACTAGGGCACGACGAGAACAGACAGTTTGGAAACCACCTCAGGCGGGAGTGGGGCGGAGGATCTTGGGGTGCCCAGATGTCCCAGGCTGACAGGGCAGTGACAGTGGGG